TGTTTTGCCAGGCTTTTTTGTAGAGATTTGCAAAAAATTATAATTATTCAAAAATTGAATTATAGCCAAGAATGCAGTGCAATTTTCAATTGGGTGTCTACCAGTTCAGGCTAAAATTCCGAAATATATCATTGTGTTCTTGCTCATATTAATTGTGTTATGCCCACTTTCTCATATACACATATATTATATATATATATAAATCAGGCGCGGTTCGTCCATAGAGCACGGTCGTGCAGTGCCGCCCAAAATTTTTTAATGTTCTATTAAGAAAAGCATCCACAAACATGAAATAAAAGAAGTCAGAAACAAACACTAGCCAAATATTATTTCAAAACCAGGTCCTCACTGGCGCCGTAACTGTCATTTCTGTGTCAAAAGCGCCGTAAAACATCTACTATGCCATGCCAAAGGCTACGCGCTTGAACTAAACGTAATAGAATATTCAAAGGTGGCAATCTGACCTATAAATCGCTCTTTGGGATAACCCAAGCGATGACGACACTCGTAGCGAGTTTGGCGGTACATTAATATTAATAAGACGGCACATCTCAAATGTGCACCCACGAAACATAGCCCACAGTAGGCAGTCTAAAAATCAATGCGATAGCCTGTACACTATACCACATTATTCAATGCCAAAATTATGTGATCCCTGGAGCAATCCAGCGGAGTGCTCAAGTGAATTGTGATTGGTTCATTGTCTTGCCACTATTTTAAGCGACTCTGTGACCGTGAACCTGAGGGAGGTGAATGTGACATACTTAAGTCACTGTCCTATGAGTTGTGCCTTTGAATGGTTTTGTTGTGGAGTGATGAAGGTTATTACTCAAGTGTTCAGTTTCAATGCAAGATAAATAAATTGATGTTTAGCTAACAAACAGATTTAGTTCCAGAAATCAAAGCGACCAGTAAAAAGAATGAAAATAAAAGCATAAGGTCCTCCTTCACCAACCCAAAGAACCTACCATCCCATTTACTATGCCCTTGACTATCTTCCACCTGCTGTTGCTTAATTGTGCACGCCCACTTGTTAGCCCCACGAGCCGCCCCTGATATAAATATAAATATAATTTTGTAATACTTTCCTATATAAAACGACTCGGCGGTGTATAGCCCATTTTTGTGGGCTGTGTACGTTATATAAATTATATTAGGTGAATTTTTGACATACTTGAGGGATCTCAACATACGTGAAATCAAGTCTTTGGCATCAAGTGTATATATACGTGCATATACCCATATATATATATATATATATATATATATATATATAGTGTTTTACCTAGTTTAAGAACACTAGTTTTTTTCTTTTTTGAGACCGATTTAGCCTGTGAGACTATAGGGGTGGGTAACAAAAGCTAGACTAGACACCATGACATGTCCGTAGTAACTGTTCTATGAAAAATCTTTATTATTACTTCTCCTTTTGTTTGGCTCGACCCTTGCTGTAGTATGTTACGCGTATAAAACGAGGGTTATACTTTTTTCCCGCTCATTTACTAGAAAAATGTTTTGTATTACCAACAAGTAGGCTATATTATGAGTATATTACGATATGATTGTTTTTTTCTCCAGGCATAGTGGACTATTGTAAGCGCTACGGCCAGGGAGCGTACAACGTGTGTGCCACGCTCACCCCTCCCCCCGTCCTGTATGACGTGCCCACAGCCCAGCGAGTCCTCCAAGAACTGGAGCAGGTTATTCCCCTTGACCAAGTCGCCGAAAGACGGAGATGGCGAGACCACCGTTTAGCGTCGTTGGCGTCCTTGAAGAATAAGTTGAAAGAAAAGACGGACTAACTTTCCAGGGGCCACTGACAAATAGCCTATGATGAGGATGGGAAATGGTAGCATTTCTTTCACCAGGTTATTTTGCCAAATGCTTGAGAACAGAGACGAACCAAGCAGTTGCAGACCATAAATCTACACGTTTTCGAAGAGTAAAAGAATGTAATTATAGGAAGGAGAGCTCATTTTGTGAAGGAGTTGTGCATTTACAGATTGAAAAATTGTGAACACGTATTTTTTCGTTATGTTGAATCAGTCTTACCTAAGGCGAGATAGTGTCATAATTTATTTCATGCCAGATGTATGTTTACCTACGTAATTGTGAACACATTTCATTATGTTGAATCATTATGACCTCACGCGAGATTATGTAACAATTTGTTGCATGCCAGATGTGTGTTTACTTGTGTAATTGTGAACACATTTCGTAATGTTGAATATAATGTCTTACCTCGGGCGAGATGGTGTAATAAAAATGTTATCAAGTCAGATGGTTTTTTTGTGTGTTATACTTGTTGTTCTTGATAATATCAGATCGTCAGAGGCTGCTCATTATTTTGAACAGATGAGAGATGGCTAAAAGTGTTTTGATTGTTCCTCTTACAAGTAGGCTACAATATTTGAATATTGTATAGTGGAGCTGGTAGTCTGTGGTTAGGCGACCGGACTTGTAATACATGTAGTGAAATAGTGGTGTGGTAGTCTAGTGGTTAGACGACCGGACTTGTAATTGCAATACTAATACAGTCCATGCCAGCTTTAAGCACGGTCATCGGGAGAAAGCTGAAGCGTGCTTAAAGCCGAAGCGTGCGTGAGTGCGAAGTAGACATAATCCAGAGATTTTCATGTAGAAAATTCCCCGTGCTATTTCCCTTAGTTTGTAAGTTGGCCTATAGCGGTCCCGCAAAAGTCTGCACTGGTATTTTTACTTGCCATGGTAGTTTTTGTTTGCTTGTTTGTTTTTGTTTTGTGGTCGAATGGGAAATGAAAACTTAATTTAGACGGCCAGTCACGATACAACACACTAGGCCTACACACTGCCTGTGCATACCACAGCCCGCTGTGCCACTCATACCACAGCCTGATTCATCCTCCACACAGTCTTTGATCCCACCTCGCACGTGATACACAATCAGGATTAATGGATAGCGAGGGTCAAAGGTGAAATCGTTTGAAGTGATGTGTGTTGTATGTGTCAGGGGTTTGAAGTGATGTGTGTTGTATGTTTGAAGTGATTTGTGTTGTAGTGATTTGTGTTGTATCTTTGAAGGGATGTGTGCTGTATGTTTGAAGGGATGTGTGCTGTATGTTTGAAGGGATGTGTGCTGTATGTTTGAAGTGATGTGTGCTGTATGTTTGAAGTGATGTGTGCTGTATGTGTCTGTATGTGTGTCGTATGTGTCTGTGTGGAAAATTTGGCATGCGGTACATCACGTCATTTGACTTGAAAATCAAATCTAAAAAGAGTAGATCTATACATGTAATAGTTGTGAATTAATGTTCATATCAACGTTATGATGTCAAACAATTGTTAACACTTTCAGGGTACATCATGAGCTCTTAACTTCTCAGTGAATTGGCAATGGAAATCCATTTCTTTCATGTAATTTAATTATAGATATATATTATATAAAATGCGTGTGTCGCTGATTCAGCCATTGCATGCCTGTTGTATGAAATATGGCATGCTCCTTATGTTCCAACTATATTTTTATGAGATGAAGAAGAAGAAGCAGATTTGCGTTATTTGTTGCAATGAGCTTGTTTTGCTTCATTCTTTATTTCTCCCGAAGAATTTTTCCCAGTATTTTGTTCCTTTTGTATCAGCAAGTACTGACCTTGTTTGTTACAACACGTTGGCCAAGTGCGAGGACCTTGCTAAAGTCCTCAGTAATAGAAAACACGCGGAGTCAGCTAAAAACAAAACTGGCACATCCCAGCGGTAAACGGAAAGAAAATAGAATCCTCAGTTTTTTTCTTCACTGTTGGAGCAATATCTCTATACTGTACTGAGAATGGTGCAGAAACTTGAATTGTTATGGGAAAAGGAATTGTGAGGCAGCGTGGCGGAATCAGGCTCTCATCTATTTTTGGGCATGTAGAGTTATAGGTATCATCTTAAAGCTTGTTCACCTGTCTTTATTTTGATGAAAATAAATATCCATTTATCTTGAATACAAGTCGAGATATTTGCGAAAGAAGGAGGTGGAGGTCACCAGTTTTCAGAGGTAAAATTAGTGAGAAAATGGCCGCCAAAGATTCATTATTTCCTAAGTTTAAGAGTCCGTGGTAACTGAAAATTTACATTTTTTGTGCCTTTTATCAACGTTCTTCAGAAAAATTTCCACAGAAATGAGTTCTTTAATGGGCATGAAAGGCGTTGAGCCAAAAAACAAAAATTTGATAAAAATTCATAAACCTGCGGAAAACTGCAAGTTTCTTCACTTTGATTATTTTGACGAGAGCCTGATTCCACCACGCTGCCTCACAATTAGATTTTTTAAAAACAGGAACGAGACATTTGGGTTATAGTATAAAAAGCACAGTTTATTATTTGCTGCATTAAAGTAAGGAGGAGAATAAAGACCTATATGATGTACTTGTCCACCGCAAGTTGGTCGTGAGCGGAATGTTTTCTCAGGAGTCGGGAGTGGGAGTGACTGGGGAGTGTGTGTGTGTGTGAGTGTGTGTGTGGGGAGGGGGGGGGGGTCGTCTCTGAATCAACAGCAGAAGAGGATGGTTAATAAGGTGAGAGGCGGGAATGGGGATGGAGAGGAGGGGGAATGTTGGAGAGGCGGGGGAATGTTGGAGGGTTACCGGTCACCACATAAAGGGTTGCCGCAGAGGTGGTTCCATACCCCTCACATTGTCACCGACCGGGGGCTGCTGCTCACTCCCCAAAATGGCCGCTGGCGGAAGGTGCTCACCGTCCCCCACAACTTCCTTATCGCTAGGGTCTGCCCTCACCGTCCAGACGATCAGCATGTCGCCCTCGGCAAACCGTTTCTTCATCAGCACGTCAAACGTGACGTCCTTCACCGGGTTGCGGCTGGAGGACAGGAGGATGGACACGCCCACCAGGTACTCTGACCCCTCGGCCGCGCGGTCAAGGAGGGTGGACTCGACCTCCCAGAGGCGTGTGAACTGACCTGAGCCCTTGTTGAATACGCTTCTGGGAGACACAGGAGAGAGACATGATGGCTTTATTACAGTTTTCTCCCTACCTACCTACCTAACCATCCACATCCCTACCTACCTAACCATCCACATCCCTACCTACCTAACCATCCACATCCCTATCTTCCTACATACCAACCTACCTATCTACCTACCTACTTACTTATCTACCTGCTAACTATCCACATTCCTACCTACCTACCTACCTACCTAACCATCCACATTCATATCTTCCTACATACCAGCCTACCTATCTACTTACCTATCTACCTGCTAATTATCCACATTCCTACCTACCTACCTACCTACCTACCTACCTACCTACCTACCTACCCATTTAACCATCCACCTCTCTACCTACCTACCTACCTTCCCATGTACCCTCCTACCACTACCATGGCTTTATCTCAGCTTTCTACCCACCCATCTGCATACATGTACCCACCCACCTATCTACCTATAAAACCTGCAACAGTAACAACTAAATTTTGAAAGAGTTGGAGTGTTGAAAACTTTTTGTTACTTAAAAAAAAAAGAAGTAAATTTCCATGTGTATTGCATGAGTAGCCTAGGTACATGGCAGTAGTGGGAGTAGTGCTTCTTACTTCACATAACAAAGAAGCTAAACTAAATACTAAAGTTCAGTAAATTACACAACATTATTGCTACTCTAGACAAAGTGCTTTATGAGGAAAACAAGGCGTGAAAACTAGATTCACAGACAGAGAAGGTACATGACATAATATGTGATAATCCTCTGCTTTGAGAACTTTCTTCTGATTTTACTTTGGACAGCAGTCTATATCTGTCCAAAGTTTTTTAATCTTTAGATTTAGAGAACTGTAGCTCTCCTATTTTGTTAAAATAAAGAAATAAGTCTTTCGCAATATATATATTTATGTCCAAATATGAGTTCACATGTATCTCTTTGTACCAAACTGCAAAACATTAGAAAACAAAAAACCGAAAAAAAGGACGAAGTCGTACGTAAACCCTGAATCCCAAAGATACAAGTAGTGTAGAACAACATAAACACGACCCCCAGCCCTCTCATGGAACTTCACCCCTCCCCTCCCTTTCCACACACACACACACACACACACACACACACACACACACACACTCAGACAGTGAGAGACACACAAACACTCACAACAACACACACACAAACACACACAGACAGTGACAGACACACAAACACACACACACACACACACACACAGAGACAGTGACAGACACACAAACACACACACACACACACACACACACACACACAGACAGTGACAGACACACAAACACACACAAACAACCAAAGGAAGCGGCCATGCCCTGCTATAAAGCTTTCAGGTTGTCAGGCAGAAGGCTACTATTGCAGAATGGAATGTTTCATTTGCCAGGCAAAATCTATCATTTACAATACGTGAAACATGCTGACAAAATGAGTTACTTCTCGGATTCAAGCCCTATGGAAATCGGTAGATTTCTACGTCACGCTTATAGATGAAGTTTTTACAATTTATAAGCATGAAATAATTAAAGGCATGTTAATAAATGTTATACTTAAAGAATGGCATTTATAGAACACCTACAAATTTGATCCTACTGCTGATTTTTTGGCAAATTTGCGGACTGCGAGAAATAACTTATTTTGTCAGCACGTCTCACATATGCAATGAAGGTAAATATATGCTCGTTCGTAATACCGATAGGACGTACAAAACATGGCCAACCTATTATTCATAAAATGTTTTGAAAAAAAATAATAAAATGCTGATTGGTAAAAGGGAGTACAATACACAATCAACTCCATGAAAGTGTCACCTGAGCCTTGAACTCACCCCCAGCCGGAGAAGATTAGCGGCCATTTGTGTTGGTCATCTAGCTCTCCAGGGGCTACCAGCAGACTGACTCCGAGACGACCCTGCTTGGAGAACCAAATTCGCATGCGAACCTTGCAGGGTTTTCCCCGTGTATAGAAGTAGTCACTGTGGTGATCGAGACCTTTTGACGCAAAGTCCGCCACTTTGTCGATAAAAATCTCAGCACCATCCTTGGGAAGTATGTTTATAGACGGACCTGATACAGGGAATAATAACGATGATGATAATATGATAATAATAATGATAAGAAATGAGGCATCGCGGAGAAATCAGGCGCTTGTCATAATTTTGAAATCAAAGAAAACAGCCTTTTTCTTCCCATTTGGCAATTTTTATTGAATCTTTATTTTTGGGTGCAATACCTTTTACGTCCTTCTAAAAACACATTGCTTTGTTGATTTTACTGAAAAAAGCTGATTAAAGGCACAAACAATGTAAATTTACAGTTTCTAACGACTCTCAAGCTTTCCAAATCACCACACTTTGGCGGCCATTTTCTTGCTAATTTGACCTCTGAAACCGGGTGACCCGACCTCCTTCAATCCCAAGGGTCCCCACTTCTATTGAAGATGGATGGGTAATTTTTAAATCGAAAGATAAACAAATAAACAAGCTTTGGGATGATACCAAGAACTGAGGGGATACAATGACGTTTGACAGTATAAATATATAAATTTAACTTTACAAAATATACACGAAAGTGGATCCCAAAAGATATGCTGGAGAACACACAACATTTGGTTATTCCTCCGGATCACTAACAACAACATCCGGATGAGCTCTGGATCGCTAACAACAACATCTGGATGAGCTCCGGATCGCTAACAACAACATCTGGATGAGCTCCGGATCGCTAACTACAACATCTAGATGAGCTCTGGATCGCTAACAACAACATCTGGATGAGCTCTGGATCGCTAACAACAACATCTGGATGAGCTCCCTGTTACAGCCTGAAGGAGACCGAAGTTCAAACCTAATTTGGAGCTGAAATTTCCAAGCTCCTCTTCAAACGGGTCTCTAAACAAAGAGTCTAGTGAGGGTGATGAAGGTTCAAGGCTAGCAAAAAAAGAGCAACCCACTTCTCATGTCAGTATCAGTATATCATGGTCTGTCAGTATCAGTATATCATGGTCTGTCAGTATCAGTATATCATGGTCTGTCAGTATCAGTATCAGTATATCATGGTCTGTCAGTATCAGTATCCCTATATCATGGTCTGTCAGTATCAGTATATCATGGTCTGTCAGTATCAGTATATCATGGTCTGTCAGTGTCAGTATATCATGGTCTGTCAGTATCCCTATATTATGTTCTGTCAGTATCAGTATCCCTATATTATGGTCTGTCAGTATCAGTATATCATGGTCTGTCAGTATCAGTATCCCTATATCATGGTCTGTCAGTATCAGTATATCATGGTCTGTCAGTATCAGTATCAGTATATCATGGTCTGTCAGTATCAGTATCCCTATATCATGGTCTGTCAGTATCAGTATATCATGGTCTGTCAGTATCAGTATATCATGGTCTGTCAGTATCAGTATCAGTATATCATGGTCTGTCAGTATCAGTATCCCTATATCATGGTCTGTCAGTATCAGTATATCATGGTCTGTCAGTATCAGTATATCATGGTCTGTCAGTATCAGTATATCATGGTCTGTCAGTATCAGCATATCATGGTCTGTCAGTATCCCTATATTATGGTCTGTCAGTATCAGTATCCCTATATTATGGTCTGTCAGTATCAGTATATCATGGTCTGTCAGTATCAGTATCCCTATATCATGGTCTGTCAGTATCAGTATATCATGGTCTGTCAGTATCAGTATATCATGGTCTGTCAGTATCAGTATATCATGGTATGTCAGTATCAGTATATCATGGTCTGTCAGTATCAGTATCCCTATATTATGGTCTGTCAGTATCAGTATATCATGGTCTGTCAGTATCAGTATCCCTATATTATGGTCTGTCAGTATCAGTATCCCTATATTATGGTCTGTCAGTATCAGTATATCATGGTCTGTCAGTATCAGTATCCCTATATTAAGGTCTGTCAGTATCAGTATATCATGGTCTGTCAGTATCCCTATATTATGGTCTGTCAGTATCAGTATCCCTATATTATGGTATGTCAGTATCAGTATCCCTATATTATGGTCTGTCAGTATCAGTATATCATGGTCTGTCAGTATCAGTATCCCTATATTATGGTCTGTCAGTATCAGTATCCCTATATTATGGTCTGTCAGTATCAGTATATCATGGTCTGTCAGTATCAGTATCCCTATATCATGGTCTGTCATTATCAGTATATTATGGTCTGTCAGCTGTTCAGATGTATAGAGCCCAAAATTCAGAGTTATCTTTTTTTATTGCAGTTTCTTCATTTGTGTTGTCTGTCGTATGCTCAAATAACATTTGGTTGAAATTCAAATTCTAGATTTTGAAAAAAGCAAGAAAAAATACAAAAAGTAGGTACAATAGTCAATAGTTCAGGGAATGATACAGTTCTTCTTCTTACTCTACAGGAAATTTTCCTTTCTGGGCTTAGAACATCTGAACAACTTGCCCAACATATATGGCCCGGGACACCACAACAAACACACAAAACAACTGGACAGACAATCAAAATCAAACAAACCATGTGGGTGGTTGGAGGATGCTCTGGTGTGGTTTGCTTCTTCTTTCCTATCAAACATCTATCGCCTTTATCTCCCCTCCTTCTTTTTTGTGTTTGTTACTCTCTTGTAACACCTCTAATCTTCGGCACTTATATGACCTTATTGTGTCACAAGTGCCGTAAAACTCTTACTAAAACTAAAAAACTAACCATGCTCCCCGGCATCTCCGTGAGAGTTCCCACCAGGGCGGCGAGATCGTTTCACAACCGTTGTAAACATCTCCTGACTCAGTGCCCCGGAGGTCGTACCGATCTTCCAGTTTGACGGTGTTGGGGGCAGAGACAGGGTAGGGTTGGGCTGTGGAATAGTCAAAGGGGCAAGGGGTTGGATGGGGGTGGGGATAGGAGCAGGACTTGAGCTTTTTTCTCGTCGCTGAAGCGGACTAAGCCTTGGGCTATCATCTTGCTGCAGACCGCCCTTTATTGTCACTGGAGTCGGGTCATTAGACAGTGCAGATTTGTCTTTTTTTATTCCTGCCAATTTTTGGCCAGTCTCCTGTGAAGTCTCCATGAGTTTAACACTTTCTACTGAGTGCAGGGAGAGAGGTTCGGAGTTTTCGGACATGGCTGCCTCGTCAGGCATCATTTGGAATGTAGCTTGAAACTTAATTAGCTGTTCTTCGACTCTTGCCAAAGCAGTAGCAGTTTTCTTCATCCTTTTCATCTCTTCAGGTCGCTCAGATTGCAATTTGCGGAGAGCACCTTCCACAGACTGAAGCTTTGAGTTCATATCTTTGAGTTGTTGCTTCACCCCGTCAAGTTCTTCCTGGACCAGTACTCTCATGACCGTCTTCTGTTCTTGAAACTGTCTCTGCATCATTAGCTCCAGTTGGGAACTGACAGTACTTTCGGATTCCTGGGGAGAAAACAGCTTTGTACTGCATTATTGCACATCAAGTTCTTACTGAAAAAAGTTATACGTTCATCAAATCGCAAAGCTCTGGATCGATAACAACAACAACATCAAATCGAAAAAAAAAAAGTCAAGCACTGACAAATTTATGACTTCACAAATTCATTAATATAGCCCCCCAGCTCCCCCC